CGCTCCTAGGCCATGTGCGGCGCTGCCCTTCCTCCCGGCTCCCGGCCTGCAGCCCTCGGCCGCCCGGGCCCGGCCTGGCTGTCAGATCCCAGGTCGGCGGCCCGGGCCCGGCCTGGCTGTCAGATCCCAGGTCGGCGGCCCGGGCCCGGCCTGACAGTCAGATCCTAGGTGGGAGGGAGGGAGGGAGGGAGGGAGGGAGGGATGCGTGGTCCCGGCAGAAGGGCCGGGGAGGAGAGGTGTGGCGTGCCGCCGGAGCCAGGGGAAGAATTGTTTGCAGGGGGGTGAACCGAGGTGCTCACTTTTGTCACCGGGCCAGAGCTGCAGCCCGGGCTAATTTTGGGCTCTGCTCCGTGGAGTGAGTCCTGTCAGGACCTGTTTCTTTTTTTTTCTCTCTCTCTCTCTCATTGTAATTGCAGCCTTTAAGGGACCCAGCCGGGTCAGTTTTGCTAGAGGACTGGAGCCCCCAGCTCCCCTTTTGTCCTTGGGACGCTTGCACTTACTGTATATAGGAGGAGCTTGGGGTAGGGTGTGGCATTTCTGTTAAACCTGCTGATAGAATATCGCACAGGACTCCAGCAAGAACCAGAAAGGTTGTGCCACCAAGCTGCAGGCCAGTAAATGAGGAGTAGCACCAACCAAGGTCACATGACCAATTCTACTACTAAGTTGTGCGGGTTTTCCTGTTCGTCTTAAGTCTCCTCTAACCAGAAGTACTTCCTCTTAATTCCCTGGGGCCCTTTAAGTTGGTCATTTTTTGCCTTTCAAATCCAGAAATTCAAGTCCAAGTAATGATAACTCTGATTTCAGGTGATCGACTACTTTGGGCTCTGCATCACCCGGCCCTTTACACAGAGACCCAGCTGTGCTGAGGGAATCTCAGCCCTCTAATCCAAGTGGGGACAGCCCCACAAAATGACCTTGGCTTCTGTAAAGAACTTAGGTTTTTCTCTCTTCAGTGGGCAGCTTGAAGCTGAGTGTGCCTGGAGGAAAGAAAAGGCTTAGAATGGTTTTGACTCGCTGTGTGTAATTCATAGTTGTCAGGTACCGCAAAACCTGTAGGTTTATCTTGGGGTTCTTTTGAGCCCCCAGAAACAAGGTAGAGGCTGCTTATTTGGTAGATACTTGGCTGTTGCTACTCCTGCTGCCAGGGAACTGGGTAAGGAATCCTCTTGGGAAATGAAGCAAGTTCTAGACAGTGTTTTGGCAGAATGGTGGACCTATAATTAGATCATTTCAGAGCTGCTAACCCAGACCAGATAGTCTTAACACAACTGAACTTGAAAAAGCCTTTGGATTTACCTTGAGTTTATCTTGCCAGGTAAGGTCCTAGGAAATCTCAGAATGTTTTGGGGATGACTGCTGTCGGACCCCAGAAACCCTAGATTAGAAGTCTTTTGGTCAAGTACTTGCCTAGCATGCATGAATTTCAGTTTGCCTTGCATTGAGTGTGATGGTAATACCTGTCATCCCAGCACTTGTGAAGTGCAGACAGGAGCTGCATAGTGAGTCTGAGGCCATCCTGAGCTACATGGTACCCTGCCTCCATTCACAAAAGGGGTTACTCTTAAAATCAGCAAAGCCTGAGCTGGCCGGTGGTGGCGCACGCCTTTAATCCCAGCACTTGGGAGGCACAGGCAGGTGGATCTGTGTGAGTTGGAGTCCAGCCTGGTCTACAGAGTGAATTCCAGGACAGCCAGGACTGTTTCACAGAGAAACCCTGTCTCAAAAAATAAAAAATAAATAAAAATAAACAGCAAAGCCCAGAAGCAGAGCTTGGTGGCTCTCAGCTGTAAAACAAACCCTGGGAGCTTAGGCAGGAAGATCATTACAAATTCAAGGTCAACCTGGGCTGCACACAGAAGTTCGTTAAGCTTGAACTCCAAGGGTAAGTGCTTTGCTGTGCAAGCATAAGGACCTGAGTTCCTATCCCTACCTCGTAGACAGACTTCTTGTGGGCCGCCAGCTCACAAAAAAAAAAGGACACAGGCTTATTATTAATTATAAAAGTTTGGCCTATAGCTTAGGCTTGTCCCATTAGCTCTTATGGCTTAAAGTAAGCCATATCTTCTAATCTATGTTCTTGTCTGTGGCTCAGTTGCCTTTACTCTGCACTCTCCATCCTGCTTCCTCCTCCTTCTTCCCAGAACTCTCTCTGTCCAGAAGTTCCTGCTGTACCTCCTGCCTAGCTATTGGCTGTTTAGCTTTTCATTAAATCAATCACAGTATCACAGTGTAAAAGTACCTCCACCTAAAACCCATGTTTGGTTACATGTGCCTATAACCCTCAGTGCTGGGTGTGCGGGAACTTGGAGACAGGTGGGAACGCCGGGTCTCGATTGCCAGTCAATCTAGCAGAAATGGGTTTGACTGAGAGACTATTAAAAATATTAATAAGGTGAAGGCCAGTAGAGGAAGACACCCAAAGTCACTCTTTGACGCAAGACATGTATGTGTGCACACAGACACACATGGAGAGAGAACAACACTGAAACAAACACACAAAAAACTCTCCAAGCCTGACAAAATTGAGGAGTAGACTTTGAGTCTGCAGTGTCACTGCGGTTCTGAGGACCCTTCACTATTACCAGCACCGTTCTTACCTGCCTGAGCTTTCTGAATTAGCCTCCAGTTTGATTGGTCATTGGTAATAAACCTTTACTTTTTAATATTAGAAGAGGCTTCATTAAGAAAGTAAGCAGGGCAGTGGTGGCACTCGCCTTTGGTCCCAGCACTCGGGAGGCAGAGGCAGGTGGGTCTATGAGTTTGAGGCCAGCCTGGACTACAGAGCAAGTTCCAGGAGCTACACAGAGAAACCCTGTCTCGAAAAACCAAAAAATAAAAAGTAAAAATAAGGATATAATTACTCAGTGATAGAATGTTTGCCTTGAATGTGCAAGACCCAAGGTTTGTAAACCTCCAGAGAGAGTATGTGTGTTCTGGAATTACCTCACTAATGCAGCTAAAGAACCTGAGGTGGGAAGGTAGGAAGATCTCATATTCCAAAAGTTTCAGGCCAGTCAGGGACTGCATAATGAGACTGGTAAAAGAAAAAAGAAAAAGAAATTAGAAAGAAAAAATTGAGAGAGATGGCTCAGCAGTTAAGAGCACTGACTAATATTCCAGAGGACCAGGATTCAATTCCCAGGTCATCCAGTGTCTGATCATGCCAGGATTTATTTTAAAAAAAGAAAAAGAAAGAAAAATTAATTTTTTACCTCTCCCCTCCAAAAAAAAAAATCTATCAAGACCTGTAGATGAATAAGTACATCTTGGTTAGGAGGTTGTAGTTTGTGCCTATCCATACTTGAGCTGGTTTGGTCCTGGTGTTTTCACAGGTGATCGGGTTTGTAGTTAGGCTGGGAATTGGAATAGGACCATTGGGTCACCTTTAGGCCTTTGAAGTCAACGTGCTTAATCAGCCCTATCTACAAGGAATATTGTTTTCTTCTAGGACAGTCTCATCATGTAGCCCAGTCTGGCCAAGAACTAACTCACTCACTCTCTCTCTCTCTCTCTCTCTCTCTCTCTCTCTCTCTCTCGTTTGTTTTGTTTTGTTTTGTTTTGCTTTTTGAGACAGGGTTTCTCTGTAGCCCTAGCTGTTCTGGACTCATGCTATAGTTCCAGACCGGCCTTGAGTTCAAAGAGATCCACCTGCCTCTGTCTCCGGAATGCTTGGGAATGCTTGGGATTAAGGCGTGCTCCACCACCACCTGGCAAGACCTCTTTCTTGATCCCCATTAAATCTATCCCAGGTGCTGGAGTTACAGGCTTGCACCATCTCATCCATCTTAAAGGGAATTTTGTATCAGTGAGAATTACTTCTCTAGGTTAGGATGTTTAGAACTTTGAAAAGATCAGTGCAGTTTTACATTAACAATGACTTACAGAATGCCTTCACTCCCCATTCTCTGTAAGCCCTAGTCAGAAATTAATTTCAACAAAACAATTTTTCTCCCGTGAAATAGGCTTAACGCCCAACACTTTTGAAGGCAAGGCTCTGATCTCTGTAGTTACCTTCCTTGATCAAGTGGAGCTTTACCTTGTGGGCTAAGTCTGTCTATTCCTACTGGGCTTTAAATTGGGAGCAGGTGAGTATGAAGTCATAGGCATAGACAGGTAGTCAGGACAGAAGTGTGGTCAGTGACATTGAGAAGGATTGATGGATGGCATTCTGGTTCTTAGAATCTGAGCAGACTTGGATCTCAGCTAAAGCCACACAGTGAGTTCTTGGGCCTTATGTCAGTGTTTTGGGGGGAGGGGGAGATAGGGTGTGAGATTTGAAGCAGTGAGGTGGTTCTTCTTAGCACCTGCCCATTCTTCCTGGGCATTGTAACCTGGGTGCTTGATCAGACTGTGATCCGAAGCAGTGAGATGGAATCTGACAGTTTATAGTTTTTGGACTGATGATGTGTGATGCAGAAATTATAGGCATGACCTGACACACCCAGCTTTATTTTTTTTTTCCATATGATTTAGAGAAGGAGTCTTGTAAAACCTAGAGCAGAGTGTTAGCAGCTAAAGCTTGTTAAAAAAAAATCTAGCAGAAGTGAGGAAATCATTCAGTATTTCCAAGAGAGTGTTGAGGTGACAAGCCATTGCGTAGACTGTCTATGGGATAATTTGTGTCTGGGTACACATCACACAGTGCTCTGTGGGTGTCGGGGCACTTGGTGTGAGTTAATCTTTTTTCTCCTTCCACAAACTCAGGTCATCAGGCTTGGCAGCAAGTGCTTTTACCTGCTGGACCTTCTCACCAGCCCAGGCATAAATTTCTAAATTAAAATTAATAAAAGTTAATGCATTAAAAAATAATAAATTGAATCTGGAGAGATGTGGAATCAGTTAAGAGCATGAACTATTGTAGAAGACCTGAGTTTGGTTCCCAGCACCCACATTGGGTGGCTTTACAATTGCCTTCACCTCCAGCTCCAGGGGATCCTACGCCCTCTCTGGCCTTCTTGGGCACCTGCACACACATGGCATTCTCAGACACATAAATTAAAAGGAATCTTTAAAAATAAATTTTATAAATTTTATAAGCTACACATGTTGGCCATTTCCTTAACCGCATCATTCTGGAGGCATATGGATCTCTGTGAGTTTGAGGCCAGCCAAAGCTATATAGTGACA